CCGCAGAGGACAGAAGAGGCTGTTGGATCCCCTGGGACTGGAGTTACAGACAGTTGTTAGCTGCCATGTGGGTACTGGGATTCAAACCCGGGTCTTCTGCAAGAACAGCCAGTGTTCTTATCTGCTGAGCCATCTTTCCAGCCCCTCTTATGTGTCTGAATGTTATGCCTGCATGTATGTAAGTGCAACTGTGTCATGCAATGCCTGCAGAAGACGGAGAGGGCATCAAATCCCCTGGAACTGGAGTTACTTTTGGTTGTTAGCCACCATGTGAGTGCTGAGATTTGAACCCAGGTCCTCTGCAAGAATAGCCAGTGCTCTTAACTGCTGAGACATCTCTCCACCCCCTGTATTTTTTAAAATAACATTTAGGATGCTGGAGGAATGACTCAGCAGTTAAGAGCACTGGCTGTTCTTGCAGATGACCCAGGTTTGGTTCCCAGCACCCATATATGGTGGCCCACAACTGTCTGTAGCTCTGGTTCCAGGGAATCTTACTCCCTCTTCTGGCCTCCACAGGCAGGCAAAACACTTGTACAAATAAAAATTTAGGGAGTTGGGGAGATAATTCATTGAGTGGTGTTTGCAGTGCAATCTGGAGGACTTGAGTTTGGATCTCCAGCCCATATAATCTGGGCATGGCTGCATACACCTGTAATCCCAGCACTAGGTAGATCATAGGGCCTCATTGGCTAGTTAGTCTAGCAGAAAGTTGAGCTCTAGGTTCAGTGAGTATCTTTGTTACTTTTCCAGTTGCTGTGATAAAATAGTCTGTCAAAAGAATTGAAGGAAGGCAAGGTTCATTTTGACTCACAGTTTGAGGTTATAGTCTCATGATAGGGAAGTCAGAACATCTAGAGCATGAGGCTGAGTGGTTACATGCATTGGCATTCAAGTAATAATGAATGCTAGCATTCAGCTCACTTTCTCCTTTTATACAGTTCAGAATCCTGGCCTAGGGGATGGTGCCACCCACAGTGGGCAGGTCTTCTTGCCTCAGTTAACTTAATCCAGTGCCCAGAGGCCCATCTCCCAGATGATTCTTTATCGCATCAAGTTTACAATTGAAATTAATCTTCACAGTGAAAAACTCCATCTTAAAAAATAAGGTGGCGTGCCAGGCATGGTAGTACACATACCATGGTGGCACACACCTTTAATCCCAACTCTGGGGAGCCAGAGGTGGGCAAATCTCTGTGAGATGAGGGCAACCTGGTCAACATAGGGAGATCCAGGCCTGCTGGGACAACAGGAAGACCTTGTCTCAACAAACAAACAAAAAAAATCCCAAAAGACCAAAAACAAAAATGGTGGAGAAAATAAAGGAAGACTGGCCTCCATATGCATACATATGTACATATACCCCTCACAGTACACAAGCACACCACAAACCAAAAATAATGAATTAATGTTTAAAATAGAATACTTAAAATGGCAATATAGACAGGCATGATGGTATATGCCTTTAGACCCAGCTATTTGAGAGACTGAGGCAGGAGTATCTCTTGAGCTTAGGAATTAAGGGACAGCCTGCTCAACCTAGCAAGGCTCTTGTCAAAGAAAAGAAAACAAAAATAGAAAATTTTGGGTGGGGATGTAGCTCCGTGGTAGAGCACTTATCTAGCATGCGTGAAGGCCTAGGTTTGATTGCCAGTACCAAAGACTGTAAAAGAAACGAAAGACTCAAGGACTAGAGATATAGCTTAATGGAAAACCAAAAAAGGCCTGAAATGGCCTGTGTGATAGACTCCTGTAGTCCTAACACTTGGAAAGCTGAGGAGGGAAGATTACTGCAACTTCTAGGCTAGCCTGGATTATATACATAGTTCAAGGTCTACATAGTAAGATCCTGACCTAAAAAGACTACAATAAAAATGCTGGTTCCCCTTGGGAAGGTACCACCCCTTGGGAGGTGGAGGCAGGAAGAGCAAGCGTTCTAAGGCCAGCTTTAACTACACTTACTTTTTTATTTGTTTACATTTATTTAAAGTCAGAGTCTCACTTTGTAGCCATGGCTCATCTGGACCTCCTTGTGTAGACCCAGCAGCCTTCAAACTTACAGAGCTTACCTGCTAGGATTATAGGCATGAATTGACGTGCCTGGCCAAGACTTACTCTTGTAAAAAGCACCCAGAAATTCATCAGTCAGAAAGATGCAACTGCTCTGAAATTTTTCTTCAACTATTTGAACTGAATGCCACAGGAACTTTTGGGAAATGAATAGTTCCACAGCTAGATTAGTACATACACAAGACTTCAGAGAGTAGGTGATGTTGGAGTCACATCTTGAAAAATGGGTAAGAAAAGCAGGACCTAACTGGAATGTGCAGACTGTTCTAGGAAGGGCAAGTCATTTGTGATCAGTGTAGGATGAGGCCAGTGAAGGCCAAATTTAGCGAACACCAGGATAGAAAACTCTTAAATATTTGCCTCCTTCAAGCCTTAAGTCACAAAAGTCAAAATTCTAGCTGGTCAGAACTTGAAGACTGTAGCAAATGTCTTTTCTCTTGTGGTGTTTGGCAGAGGGAGGAAGCCATCGATCCAGTGACGCTTTTCTTCTGTTACCAGTGGAAGCCATTAGTTCAATTAAGCTTCGTGTTTCTTTATTCATTTTAGACTATGTGCCCTATGGCAGGGTCTGCAGTTCAACATAGGAAGACACAATGTGGCCGGGCGTGGTGGCGCACGCCTTTAGTCCCAGTGTTTGGGAGGCAGAGACAAGTGGATTTCTGTGAGTTCAAGGCCAGCTTGATTTACATAGCAAGCTCCAGGCCAGCTGGGGCTACAGGGAGACCTCTGTCTCAAAAAGACCAAAAAAAAAAAAAGAGGAAGAAGACATAAATGTAGTAAGTACTAAGAAATAAGGTCAGCTTGAGCATCCCTAAAGTCAAAAACCAAAATCTGAAATGCTCTGAAAACTCTAACTTTTGATGCATATGTGACACCCAAAAAGCTTCATATTTCAGATTTTGGATTTTTGTATTTGGTATGTTCAACTGGTAAAGTCTATGCAAATATTCTAAAATCTAAATACTTGTCCTTCCTATACTCTGCTCACAAGCAACTTTCCCTTCCCAGAATGGCCCCCAAATTCCCATATAGGTCCTAAAGATGTGTGCCACCATGCCAGACCCTATCCATTTTCCAAAATGTGACTCCAATTTTACCTACTCTTTGAAGTATTGCATTATACCTTGTTCATGTATTTAAAGCTCTGAAATCCGAACTATTTTTTGCTCCCAAATATTTCAAATAAGTAGTACTGTACTACTAGGAGCATTAAAGAGGACAGTTTAAAAATTAGGAGTCTAAGCCAGGCATGGTGGTGCATGCCTTTAATCCCAGCACTCAGGAGGCAGAGGCAGAGGTGGGCAGATCTCTGTGAGTTCACGGCCAGCCTGGTCTACATAGTGAGTTCCAAACCAGTTGGGGCTACCCTGTCTCAAAAAGATTAAAAAAAAACAAAAAGACAAAAAAGTAAATAAAAATTAGGGAGTCTTCCTCAAAGATTTAAGTATCTGAGGCTAGTGATATGGCATGGTTGATACAGTGCTTGACTAAAATATGTGCAGCCCTTGGTTCATTCACTGGGGGTAGTGGCATATACCTGTTTACTTGTAACCCAGCACTCCAGATGTGGAGGCAAGAGGCTCAGAGGTTCAAGATCATCCTTAGCTACATATTGAGCTTAGAGGCTAGCCTTTACTACATGAGATCCTGCCTCAAAAAATAGTTATTTAGGGGCTGGAGAAATGGCTCAGCGAGTAAGAGCACTGAGTGCTCTTGCAGAGGACCCAGGTTCGATTCCCAGCACCCACATAGCAGCTACGAACCGTCTTTAACTCCAGTTCCAGGGGAATCCAAAATTCTCTTCTGACCTCCGCGACATTGCATGACATGTGTGCGCTCACATACATGCAGGCGATACATTTATACACATAAAAATATTTTTAAAAATTTTAAATATTTAAAAAATTTAAAAAGTAA